GGGGAGGGACGGAGTGCGGTAGGGGAAGAGGCGGTAGTAGGGGACCGACTCGTCGAACGTGACGTCCTGGGAGGACAGAACACGGCGAGAGGTGGGGTGGTAGAACTGCCACCCTGGGGCGTCAGGGGGGAAACCCAGGAAGACGCAAGGAGCAGCACGAGGGGACAGCTTGTCCGCAGACAAGTCGCGGACAAACGCCCGAGATCCCCAGACACGGAACGCAGACGCATCGCCAACCTTCCCCGTCCACAGCAAGGCTGGGGAGGTCTCCGGCATGGAGACCCTGGGCTGAAGGTTGATCTGATGCGCCGCGTACCTAACCGCAAACGGCCACAGAAAATGTGGGGCAGCCGCATGCATCATGGACGTACGGGCGACGTCCATGACCATGCCAATGCGGCGCTCAGCAATCCCATTTTGCTGTGGAGAGTCCGGAAGCGTGAAGGTCTGGCGGATGCCTCGTGCACGACAGTAGGCTCGCAGAAGGCCAGAGGAGAACTCTCCGCCTCTGTCAGAGTGCAGACGCAGAACAGGAAAGTCCGAGCCGAAGCTCTGCCTGAGCTGGAGACTAGCTGCGCGGATCCAGTCGATCAACACCGCAGTGACATCACCCTTGCTGCGCAAGGGGAAGACTGTGGTGTAACGCGAGTAGTCGTCAACCACCAGCAGGAAGTAGCGTTCGTGACCCTGTCCACGGACGCGGGCCGGGCCCCACACGTCCATGTGAAGCGTCTGCAGCGGGGCCTCTGTCGGAGGAAACTGGGAGGAGTGAGGGGCAGCCCGCTGCCGTCCCTCGACACAGGGGACGCAGGTAGGGCCAGGCCCCGGAGGAAGGGGAGGGAGGGACCGGGGAAGACCTGAGACAAGGACACGGGAGGCCATGCTCCGGAGACGAAGCAGGGAGGGGTGACCAAGGCGGTGGTGCCAGAGGAGAGTCTCGTGAGACAGGAGGCGACACGAGCAGGGGGCAGACTCAGGACCAGACCTGGACGCTGCAGCAAACACCTGACCCGACGCAGCTACCTGACCAGACGCAGTGACTGGAGGAGACGCAGTGGTCAGTGTGTACAGGCTCGACCCCGGCCGACGTGTAAACGTGGCCAGGTGTCGGCCTGTCCGAGCGTCCGTGCAGTGGGTCACCCGCTGACTCGCAGGAGTGAACTGGTGAACCCCCGCATCCTGTAGGTCAGCACCACTCACCAAGTTCGTAGAGAACGAGGGGAGGTAAAGACCAGACAGGGTGCCAGAGGGGGCCGCCGGGCACGGGAGGACAGTGGAGAAGTGAGCAAGGACAGGACCCCCAGAGGGGTCTGCCAGAGAGACTGCAACTGGCCGGCCAAGCGGCGTGAGTGTGGTGCGGTCTCGAAAGAAGGAGCGAGAAGCCCCCGAGTCAAGGGTGAAGGTGTGGGAGGCCGAAGCCGACGCAGAACCTGAGAGAGCAGACTCACCAGTACCTGAGGGAGCAGACGCACCTAGAGCAGCAGCCTCGCTAGCACCTAGAGCAGCAGCCTCACCAGTACCTAGAGCAGCAGACTCAATGCCCGGGTCGGGCGGAAAGCACCGGTAACAGTCAGCCTCATCACTAATAGTCACAGTATACATGGCAGCAAGAATAGCATCAAAGTCAAGGTCAAAGACAGCTACACCCGCCCTAGACAGCTCACCCCAGCGGGGGATCTCAGTGGCCTCAGGGAACTGGTGACGCCAAGCGTCCGTCAGGCGGCCAAAGCAGCGCTGGGTGGAGTGCGCACCCCAGCACTGCTCACCCGCGCGGTCGCCGGTGCGTAGGACGTAGGTGCACGGACCAGTACCCCCACCCCGCTGGCGTGCAGCGTACCACTCACGGAGCTGCTGAGGGGGGGGGATGTCACGAGTGCGCTGCTGCTGCTGCTGCTGCTGCTGCTGGCGCTGACCACCACCGGAGCCGACCCTCTGCGTAGCACCACCCCGACCCGCTCCACCTCCTCCGCCGCCGCCTCCTCCACCGCCGCCACCTCCGCTCCCACCGCCACCGCCGCCGCCGCCTCCGCCTCCACTGCCGCCACCGACCCCTCCACCCCCGCCACCACCCCCTCCGGCACTCCCACCCCCTCCACCGCCTCCACCGCCGCCTCCACCGCCCCCGCTAGCTCCTCCAGTGCCCCTGCCCCCCTTGCCCTTGCCAGGGCGGCGTCTCCCACTAGGGGTAGACGCCGCACCGACCGAATCAAGCCCAACGAGGTGGGCCGCAGCAGCAGAGGCAACAGAGGGCAAAAGGGGGGAGGGGGAACACCCCTCAAAGACGGGGGTGCGAGGGTCACCACGAGAGGCTCCTACAGCTACTATGCTCTTTTCTGCTGCTAGGAGGGCCTTCTCGAGGAGATCAACGGTGAGAGTGGTGGGGCAAACTGAGAGGAAGTGGTCCTTGACTACGCGAAGGGAGTCAGGGAGCCGGGTGACTATGTAGTAGAGGGTGATGTACATGGGGGGGGGGTTCTTGGCGCAGAACTCAGCAGGAAGGGCAGCGCGGTAGCGAGTGTCACTAGTGCGGAGGTGCGTAATGAGGTCAGCGACTGTGGGAAAGGCAGCAAGGTCAGGGAAGAGGTACGGTAGCATGAGGCGGCTCAGTGCAGCAGTGGCAGGGGAGGAGTAGCGCGCAACGACAGCGTCGTACAAGGTGTGAGCACTCTTGTACTGGCTAAAGTGTGCGCGCTCAGAGGTAGGCAGGTGGCGACGCACAGCAAGACGTGCAGCAGCATCGCGCGTGGCCCACTGTGAGCGAACAGTGGCGTCAGCATCAGCAGCGGGGGCAGGGGAGGCACCAGAAGTGAGGTCAAAGAGGGAGAGGCCGTCTGCTCTGTCGCACTGTAAGAAAAGCTGCAGGTCATCTATCCAGACGTCAAAGTCAATGGCCCGACCCTCAGCGTCAAAAGCGAGGACACTAGGGGTAGCCATGACAGCAGTAGACTAGCAGCGCAAACAGTAGGGTGAGGGCAGTGCTGTGAAAGAGGCGCTGCTCTTACCGGACAGGGCGGCTCGGGTGGCTCGGTTGCAGGGCGGCTCGGCGGCTCGGCTGCTCGGCGGCTCGGCTGCAGGGCGGCTCGGCGGCACGGCTGCTGGGCGGCTCGGCGGCTCGGCTGCTGGGCGGCTCGGCGGGTCGGCTGCTGGGCGGCTCGGCGGCTCGGCTTCTGGGCGGCTCGGCTGCCGGGCGGCTCGGGTGGCTCGGCTGCAGGGCGGCTCGGTGGCGTGGCTGCTGGGCGGCTCGGCGGCTCGGCTGCTTTGCAGTTCAGCAGCTCTGTTGCTGGGCAGCTTGGCGGCTCGGCTGCTGGGCGGCTCGGCGGCGCGGCTGTTGGGCGGCTCGGCTGCTGGGCGGCTCGGCTGCTGAGCGGCTCGGCGGGGCCGCTGAGAGGGCTGCGTCCGGGGCCGCTGGGAGGAGGCGGCGGGGCCACTGAGAAGAGGCGGCGGGGGCGCAATCACGGTAGCAGCGGCGGCGGCGGCGGCGGCTGTCTCAGCAGTAGCCGCGGCAGCTGTGACGACAGCAGTGGCGGCAGCCGCCACGGTAGCAGCGGCGGCAGCGATCACTGCAGCAGCGGAGGCGGCAGCAGCAGCACGCGCTACTGCAGCCGCGAGAGGGCGGCGACGAGGCCGCGAGGAGCGGCTGCAGGGCCGCGACGGGCTGCGACGCAGCCGTTAAGGGCGGCGGGGGGGGGGGGTCCGCGAACGACGGCGACGGGGCCGCGAGAGGGAGGGCCGCAAGGGGCCGCTGAGGGCGGCGCGACTGGCTGTGCAGGGCGGCGCGACGGGCCGCTAGGGGGCGGCGACGGGGTCGCTAGGGGCCGTGAGAGAGGGTGGGCCGCCAAGGGCGGCGCGACGGGTCGCTAAGGGGAGAGCGGCACACAGGGCGCGCCTCGGGATGGGGCGACTCGATCGCCGGGCAGGAAAAAAAAAAATTCAGTTGGTGGGCCCTAGGAACAGTTCCCACAGGGGAACCTGCTCTATACCATGTGAAATAAACAAGGAATGAAATGACTAAGGGAAAGTTGGGGTACAAATACAAACCTTAGGAAAACTATACCCCATATGTGCTACCCCACTATAGCCTACAGTATCTATGTCATATAAATCTGACATTTTCGTGGGCACCCACATTCGCGCCTCAGACAGTGATGTTAAAATGAAAATCAAAACACCCACATTGTCTAATTAAATAAACACTAACACTAAAATATACCATATGTGAAGACCCGGGTATTATGTATTTTTTTCCTATGAGGAGACCCCCCCCCATTTTTTCCCTGTATTTTTAGCTATACCCTAGGGTGCTATGTCCGGGAGAATACGGTATTTTTTTTCCCAAACGGTCAGGAAAAAACACTGTTCACTGTAAGTTCCCAAAAGTGAAACCAAATGTATAAGGTTGCTACGCAACCCAAAAAAGCAGTTCGACTCAAACGATGGCAAATGTCGATATCTAAAACGGCAGATGACTGACTGCATGACAGCAACCGTGAAGAAGGCGTGAGTTATTCGAAGAACAAGTGTAGGGGAGAGAGTGGGAAGGACGAAATGTGACCACATCTTATGAAGCCTCTCCTCCCGCTTATGGCCCCTAAACTCTAAATCCGCTAAAGATTAGCGGGGTTCATTTAGTATAGCATGAAGAAAAGGAGGATTTGTGAAACAGGAAAAGGGTTGAATGCTTTTGGCAAAAGCAAGAACTCATTTGATTGAAAATAAAACTCAAGCAAACCAGCGTGCCACGAGGCGGATGGGAAAACCTGGAAAGCAACGTGCCTCCAGACTGAGGTACGCTTTGAGGCAAGCGTTATCCGAAGACTGCGAGGACGAATGAACCCAGCTGTCGTTTCTGGTGTTTATGTGCAAGAGCACATGCTATATGTAATTTTGATGTCCTATCATGGTGCTGTTTGGAGTCCTTTTCCATCCCTTTCCCCCGTTTCAACCAGATACTGTTTGTACGCAAGGCCAAGTGCGTCTGGAAGACGCTGTAAAACCATGGCTCAGACAGTATCAGAGGAGCCGCTCTGCATGGCAATCTGGTGAGCACGGGCAATGGAAGCATTGAAGTCGAGATCACTGGACGTGTCAATCTCGCTGTCGATGCGCGATGCCACCTTGTCCACCTCCTCGCCCACTATCTCCCCCCTCACCGCCACCAGCTCCCCCAGCACCTTGCCCATGGAGGGGCGCGAGGCCGTGGGCATGGCGGTGCAGGAGAGAGCCAGGCGGGCGAGGCGCAGCAGAATGTCATCCGGGGCGTCCAAGGAAGGGTCTCTCAAGGCTGTGACTGAATTGGATGCCACCAGTGGCTCCACCTGCACGCATGGGAGGAGGGAGGCTGTGTGAATGCAGCTGCAATGCTGTGTACGGGCTGTGGTGGTAAGATCAGACAGTCTCACGAAGCATCTGGCCTCAGATTGTGCATTGCTCCCCTTGTGCCTCACCTACTGCTCTCCTCGTGCCTCATGCCTCACCCATTGCTCCCCTCGTGCCTCACCCATTGCTTGAGGTTCACATGGCCATCCTCTGCCTCTTGCACTGCCTTGCGCCCCGTGATCACCACCAGCATCACCACCCCAAAGCTGCCATCACAAAGCAAACAAAAACAGAACTTGAAAAAACCGTTTCTGTAGTGAAGATGATGACAAGGCACGGACAATCCGCTTTGCAATTGGTGTCCTAGTCACGTTTCACTGCCCTCTCACGTGCTCTACAATCCGCAATGTAGCCCATTGCAACGGCTCACATCAGTTATCTTTCTTCACCCATTCCATGAGCCGTAGGGGTTGCCTCCCCTCACCTGTACACATCGGCCATGGGGGTGGCCTTGTGTGACTTGCAGTAGGCAGGGTCCACAAAGCCCGGTGTGCCCATCACTCGTGTGGCTGCCACGGTTGTGCCCGCCGCCGTGCCGCCACTCAGCTTCACCAGCCCGAAATCAGCTATCTTGGCCTGCCGCCACTCACACCACAATGGCAGGAGAAGCAGTGGCATCTTCAAGAATGAATGACTGAACGTAGCAATAAGGCAGGGTGGAACGAAATGCCGTCACTCACACCACAATGGCAGGAGAAGCAGTGGCATCTTCAAGAGTGAATGACTGAACGTAGCAATAAGGCAGGGTGGAACGAAATGCCGTCACTCACACCACAATGGCAGGAGAAGCAGTGGCATCTTCAAGACTGAACTGAACGTAGCAATAAGGCAGGGTGGAACGAAATGCCGTAACTCACACCACCAAGGTAGCAGCAACAACAATGGCATACAAAATCCGAAGGGCCTGGTGACTGGAGTGGCAGCACAGTGACAGCACCATATTGTGGTTCAAGGTTGCGGAGAGGAATAAAATTGGGTGCAACGAAGTGCGAGTGATAATGATAGAACGGCAACACAGAGTGTGGAGGGGTTTGCGGTGAACAGGGATTGCGGTGAACAGGGATTGGCGGGAGCAGGATTGTCGAGAGCAGGGATCGCTGTGAGCATGCCTGCATGGTGGCGCTGAGGAGGATGTTGGCGGGCTTGATGTCGCGATGCACGATGCCAAAGTCATGCAGGTACTGCAGCCCCTTGGCCACGCCGATCAGGATGTCCACTCGCTGGCGCAGGGAGAGAGGGGTGGCGGCACCGGGTGCGATCCAGGCGTCGAGGTCGTGGTTGGGCATGAACTCGTACACGAGCACCTGCTCCATGGCAGCAGCAACAACAATGGCATACTCGAGATGAATGGGCTGGTGACCGGAGGGGATGCACAGTGACAGCACATGAACTCGTACACGAGCACCTGCTCCATGGTGCGTGTTGCCGGGTCAAACGCGATGCAGTAGCCCAGCAGCCGCACCAGGTTCGGGTGGTGCTTCGATGCCATCTCCCTCACCTGCAAGTGGTAGGGGGTTGTCAGTTTGGAGAGGCATGGTAGATTGCAACACGGGGAGCACACAACGGGAACACAGGGAGCACACACGAGGAGCACACAACGGGAACACAGGGAGCACACACGAGGAGCACACAACGGGAACACAGGGAGCACACACGAGGAGCACACAACGGGAACACAGGGAGCACACATGAGGAGCACACAACGGGAACACAGGGAGCACACACGAGGAGCACACAACAAGAACACAGGGAGCACACACGAGGAGCACACAACGGGAACACAGGGAGCACACACGAGGAGCACACAACGGGAACACAGGGAGCACACGGGTCACCTCTCTCTGGAAGTCGTTGGTGAGTACTCGAGCGCGCTTCACTGCCCACACCTCGCTCCCACCGTGCGGGTTCACGCCTCTGTACACGTCGCCAAAGCTGCCGCTGCCAATCCTGTTGCGCTCCGCCCACTCCCCCGTGGCTGCTGCCATGTCCTCCAGGGAATACTCCCCACACACATCCGCCTGAGCCGCCTCCAACTTTACCACCACCCCTTCCTCCCCACTCCCTACTGCTGCTGTTGCTGCTGCTGCCGCGGCTGCTGCAGCAAATGCTGCTTCTGTGTTCTCTAGAACCACGGCTGGTGATTGTTTCAGGGGATGTGTGGGACAACGTGAAAAGTAACTACTAAGGAGTATATGTAAGGGCAACGTTAGAAGGACTAGACGGATAGCATAGCAAGAACTCAAGTGTGAGTTGTTGTTGGGATTAGGAAGACAAACAAATGGCTATGTTATAGAGAGAGGAGAAAGAGAGAGGAGATGGCGAATCTCGGAAGAGAGTCGCACCCTTGCCGTCTTCCGTGGTTGGAGCGGCAGCCTTTGAGAGTGCCTTCGTGTGTGTGTGCATCAGCGATCACAAAACAAACAAAAGAAAGTGCTGAGAGATCTTTAAACAGGTGAGTGGGAGGAGATGATGGACGCATCGAACGGATGGGAGATGGAGGGAATGGACGGTTGGAATTGTGGAAATATGAGACAGATGAAGTTGTTGGGAAGAATCAACTGGGAGACAGGGAGGGAGACAGGGGAGTGATAAGAAAGGGGCGGTGAGAGAGGGAGCGCGAGATAAAGAAATGGAAGCGAAGGGGATTGGAGGAGAGGAGATGACGGAAGTGGGAAGGGAGTCGCACCCTTGCTGTCCTCCTCGCTTGCAGGGGCAGCCCTCGAGAATGCCTTTGCCTGGCTGTGCCTCCGCCACAGCAGTGCACCGACCAGCACTGCCAGCAGGAGAGCAGCCACAGCAGCAACAGCAATGCCGGCAATGGCTGCTGTGGACAGACCCCCTTGCGATTGAGAGGGCGCAGGTGCAGGGTTGGCTGCTGATGGGGGTGCTGCAGGTACAGATGTGCAGTGGGGAGGTGGAAGGCAGACGTTGCAGGCACAATAGCAGCATTGAGCGAAACAGATGAATGTAATTGGCCATCTTGAGTAAACCCCGCTCAATTGTGTATTGTGATGCAAAACACATGACGTAAAAAAAATATCCGAGGCAAGATATTGAAAAAGATGGTCATACCTGCAGATGCTGCCGTACCTGTACGTGCTGCCATACATGCAGGTTTTGCCATAGCTGTAGGTGCTGCCATACCTGCAGGTGTTGCCATACCTGGAGGCGGTGCGATGCAGGTGGAGCAGAAATCTGGGCAAGTCTTGCAGAAGGCACTGTGAAGGTTCTGCTGGGCCTCACAGCTGGTACCACTTGGCGGGCATGTGAGTGACGTGCCATCCAGCTTCCTGCAGACGAACAGAACGTTGTGACCAATGCTCATCAATCCTTGGTTACTCATAGTTGGTTACGCTTGCTAATGCTGAATCACCATTCGTCCTTACACAGTGTGTACTACGAGTGTTGATTGAAGTGTGATAGCAAAATGTGAAACTTCTCAGCCATGGTAGAGGACGGAGCACACTGTGTGGGTGCCAACACGTCATAGAGCACAATACATCATACAGCGCAAAGGAGCATACAGGGCAAAGAGATTGGTGAGGCTTCCCATGGAAGGAGGGAGGTGCCCAGAGAAGTTGGTACCTGAAATGTGGCTGCGGCAAAAAGAGTGTGTGAGAGAAGTGTGTGGGAGAGACGTGTGTGGGAGAGACGTGTGCGGGAGGGGGAGGCAGGAAAGGAGGGAGAGAGGGCAGCCGTTGCCCTTGGTCTTAATGTCCTCAACTCCATCACGCTGGTCAGCGAGTCTCAAGGGCACCCCAGTGCTGTCCTTCAACTCAATCAACATGGTGCCATGATCCGAGCTGGAGTGCCATGATCCGAGCTGGAGAAGTGCTATAATCCAAGGCTCCCTGCCGTGCCAGCCCTCTCCTGCTCACACCCATCTCTTCCTCCTCACACTCTCAGCTCACCGACGTCAGGCTCGATTTCCAGGAGTTATGTTATCCTGTGCAGGTGAGCAAGGTGGCACGATTGCTGCACATGTGGGCTCTTTCAAGAACACTTTTGGCGAATTGATGCCGGTTTAGCACCAAGGGTATTTTCCAGCGTTGGTAAAAAAAACGGCGTTTACTCAAGATTGAGATGCCAAGTCAATGAACTTCCAGACCGACTTTGTGACAAACTAATTGAAAGTAAGCAGGCCCCATATAGTAGGCCTGTTGCGACAGCCGGGCCAGTCCTTTGTGAGGGGCCCACACGGTGTGGGTTAAATTGAGTGCAGGCGTAACCAGGCTCCAACTGTTGATCATGCCTGTGGTGTACTACACATGATGGAACTGACAGGGAAAGCAAGTGCGCGCTTACAACCCAGTTAATTTTATAAGCTTGCCAATCGAATCTGGAATGGTGCCATTCATTCGAGTTGCAAAGATATCCCTGAAGAGATCAAGGGAAAGGGAAAGAATAGGCTTAAGTGAGTTTATAGATCAACGCCAATCACTGCTTGAGAAATTGAGTTGATCCAACTAAAAGCAACATTGACTACAAATTGTAACAAACCTGGAAACATGAGGTAATTGCCAAGTTATATTTTTGAGGATTTTTATCGTCCTTATTAGCAAACCTCTTGATTTTACCTCCAGACTTACCACACCTAAACATAATAACCCTTTAATAAGTATATGGTCTTTGGGTCAATATACAATTATGTTATCAAACAGAATCAACCCTTTTTTAAAAAGAGAAATCCAGACTAATATAACACTGATGTAATCATTTTTGCCAAAATCACAGAGTGGTTAATTTCGTGAGTCTGCCAATGGTGGATGGAATCGACCCAGTTAGCCGCAACGAAGCTACGTCTCTGGCATTGGGATGGGAGAAGTGACACAAGGAGTTGGGAAGCAAGGTGGCATCGAAGGATGTCAGTGAATTTTCTGCCCAACCGTTACAGAACCGCCGTGTGTGTGTGCTCGCACGCGCGTGTGTGTGTGCGTATTTGTAAATGAACTACTGAAAGACTTCCACAGTGGATGTTAAGCTCTTCAACACTTACTGAAATGAACTCAGAACAGCAACAACCAAGACCCAATGAAAACTGAGATGACAAGCTAATCTGCGAGGGTGCTTAACGGAATGGGCAATTTCACCAGGGCCGTACATGGATTCGAACCCTGGACTCCTGAACAGTGAATATAACCATACGTAATTATGTGGATAAACAAACAAACAACATCCAGCCAGGGGTGGCTCATCATGAGCGGCACGTAATGAGCCAAGCAGGTGACTAATGTGGATCTATCACGCATTCTGTCCCTTCCAAAACAGAGCAAATTGTTGACAGACATGTGCCCTCCCTCTTTCTCCATGAGCGGCTCGTAATGACCTGTCCGCATATCACCCCCACCCCACAGTGCCCCTATTTCCCATGAATGCTCATTGTCCTCATAACCTCATTTTTGTCCTTCACCTTCCATCCTCTTCAGCCCCAGCAGCCCTTCCTGGAGATATATAGTTGGGCTAGCATAGGCATGAGCAAAAGCCAAGTCGAGTAATACTCGACTCGTTTTCACCCGACTCGTTTTGGAAACAAGTCGAGTCGAGTATTACTCGTCCAAGTAATTTTGACCCTAGACCCGAGTCCCGACTAGTTACTCGTGCAAAAAAATGGGTAATTCATTACTCAGAATGAGTAATGAAGTACTCGTTTAGGAGAAAGTAATACTCGACTGATTTTGAGCCAAACAGGTGTCAAAACCGAGTAATAAATTACACGTTTTGAGAAACGAGTTAACTGCGAGAAATCATTTACTCAAAAGTGATACTCGATCCGACTGGTGCGGGTAATTTTCCTGAAAAGGCCGACTCGTTACTTGCCCAAAACGAGTAATAAGAACGAGTCGAGTAAATCACTAGCCTCGTTGCTCATGTCTAGGCTAGCACAGCTGCACTTCAACCCTTGCAGTGGTCTTATTGCCATATAATCCAATGTGTGCAACCTCTATGCAGCCTGCATACAAGAGCTTAATTCTCTTGCAGATAAGTCGGATCGCTGCTAGGACAACAGCACACGTGCACAATGCAAACGGTCACATCCTCGGAAACTAATCACTTACAAATCTTCGAGCATTTCCAGGCTGCCAATGTACTCCGGAAAGGAGCCGTTCATATAAACATTGAAACCAAGGCTTCTGACGACGCAAAAAAGGAGTGGAGAAAGGAGGGAGAGGCAGAGGGAGGAAGGGGAAAAGCAGGGAGGGAGGGATGCAGGATGTTTTTAGCATGTTTGGTCAATGAATCACACGACAAACATGAGCAAAATTCTTGTTGTAAGTGTCCTGACATGGCACCCGAGGCGTTTTTTAGCTACTGGTGAGATGGTCAATTCTCATGCGTGCAGTGTACTGTATACAACTAACAATTTGCAGCCAGCAGTTCTTGCATTGCAACTAATAATTGTTCCGACTGAATGCTGTCGCAATTAGCAGTTCATGCAACCAACAGATGCTTGGTTCGTGCAATTTAAACATTCACAGCTAACAGTTCTTACCTTTAACAGCTCACACTAATGACAGCCAAACATGCACCAAACAGCTCCTTCAACAAACATTTCTTGAAGAGAACAGCAGTTTCTGGAAAATAATACTATTTGCAACTAACAGGTATGACAGGTTGGTTAGGTTGACAAAGGTCGAAGGAATGGACCCTGCCAACATGTTTTGACCCAGAGACCTGGTGTGATGGGAAGGGGTTCACATGGATGGCAAGGTGGGGGACTGATGGAGCATGTCAGAAATCGCGCATAAAAGCGTGGTCTGATTTGATGTCTACACATATGGCTTTAGGCAGTGCTCTCCACAACTAATTGACAAGTGGAGACAAGCGTACGATGGAACAAGTAGACTGTTCCTGTGTATGTTATCGCTACAGCCATCCACCCATGCAATCGTTGGAACCGTGCGAACACGGTTGTTCTGTGCATGCATACACCCTTCCATTCTGCTACCCATGCCAGGCTCGTTAATTCTCACGTATACACAAGTCAGGTAAATGAGCAAACTCTTGTTTTGAGTGTGCTGACAGGGCTTGGCTTGCCTAGGTTATCACGACCCCAACTGGGACATTTCTCGGTTCCTGGTGAGCTGACCACTGCAAATGCCTACATTGTACGAAACAATCTGCAGCTGGCAGCTTTTGCACCTATACATGAGCAGAAACACTTTCTTTTGCAAAAAAAGGTTTGGTTCAATTACATGTCCGACCCGAACTTGTTCGACTGTTCGAGGTGACTTACCACCAGACACTTGAACTTGAACATGTTCGGTTCGGGACACACTGTTCGAGGTTTGACTAAGACAGATGTTCGAAAGAGTTCGCATCAAACATGTTCGAGATCGACCGTTGCTCGCGTCTACTTTCAGATTATAGATGTTTCAACTTTATTGTTGTTGCGAATAGCTGGTTGTTGCAAATAAAACAATCCCAGCTAACAGTTTTAACTGGCAGGAAAAAGCTCACGCACCTACTGGCAGTAAAATTGCCATCGTGCATTCATCCTTGCACCGAACAGCTCTTTCATTTAAGTTTTTCTATTCAGATAACAGCAGTTGCTGGAAAACAAAAGTTCTCGCAACTAACAGTTTTTGGAGGTTGCTCAAGCTGCCAAACGTTGAAGGAATGGGCCCCATCAATGCGTTAGAACCCAAAGACCTGGTGTGTTGTGAAGGGGCTCGCATGGATGGCAAGGTGGAGGACTGATGGAGCATGATAGAAATCATGCATAGAAGCCTGAACTGAACTGGTCAGATGTGTACACATTTTTCTGTAGGCTGTGCTCTCCTATCCACAACTCATCAACAGGCGGAGGCAAGTAAAAAACGGTACAAGTGAGCACTGTACCACGGTAAAATGCTCCTGTGTTTGTTATCGCTGCATGCAACCACTGACGCAAGCACTGTAACTGTGGTTATACGGTTGCTCTGTGCATACACCCTTCCATTCAAGTTCAGCTACCAATGACAGACTCGTTAGTGCTCACATACAGGCGAGTCAGGCTGGTGAGATTCCCCAATGTATCCGGAAGGTGTCCTTTAAGACCCATATACGTCAGGACTCTGGAATATGCACATATGGGTAGGCCATAAACAGGAGCGGAGAGCTGAATTGAAAGAAAGATACAGGAGAACATTTCACAGCGGCTCTTTCTTTAGCAGGTGGTGAATATCACCAGAGAAAGTGGGCTTTTATTCCTTCACAGATTCTCATTCTGGAAAGCCACGCTTTCAGTTCTCTGCTTTCCAATGCTGCCGCAATTCTTTCCATTTCCATGACAAGCCCCAACCCGCAGCCTGTCACAAAACTGCACGTTTGAAGCCAGGTCTGTGCAGGTCTCTCGCACAACGTGCCAGCGATAACAGAACTAGATGAGCGACTATAGCACAAGTAAAACGCGTGTCACTGGCTATGCATGGGCGGCCTGTCACAGGCCTATTGCAGCCCGGAGCAGGGGGTCCTAGTGGCGTGTCAAAGGTTGAAATTCCTGCAGTGGGGCACCAGCCGATGCAAAGCGTTCGCGCATAACCAAGGTACTTTGGAAGCAACTAATTTGAACAGCGGTTGCTACTTTCATCTCACCACTGAATAATTTCACTAGCAGGCCTAGGTTGGGGCTCGTGTGAAAACGGTCTGTCCAGCCCTGCAGGGTCCCGTCAGTGCTGATGGGTCTGGGTCCAGGCCAAGTGCCTAACCCAATACATGCCCCATGCTTCGCTCCCATGCCCCATGCTTCACTATCATGATTCATGCGCCATGCTTCCCTCCAACGCCCCATGCCCCATGCATCACATACATAGCATTGATCATGCCTTGCTCGTTGCACGTGATGTTCTCCGCATGTGGCGTCAGCCCATATGGCCCACACGTGGCTCCCGCCTTCCAACCCTCGAACGTCTTCCCCCACACCTGCTGGCACTCCTGCAGAACGGGCACTGCGCGCAAGTGGGCCGAGCGCACCCAAGTGAGGGGGCAGCAGACGGGTGAGGGGCAGACGGGTGGGCAATAGACGGGGGGAAAGAGGTGGGGGAGGGAGGAGGAGGGGGGGGGGGAGGGGGGGGGGGGGGTGGGGGGGGTGGGGGGGGCGTAGGGGGTGGGGCAGCACGAAAGAGGTGGATGGAGATTTTGATAAGGTGAAGGGAGAATACGACTCGAAGGTGGAGAATACGAGGGGAATAGGCGAAGCGGCAATAACATCGGGGAAAGGTTATAAAGGGAGGGAAAAGGGGGAGAGGGGGGAGGGGGTGGGGGAAAGGGGGGGGGGGGGGGGGGGGGGGAGGTGTGAGTAGAGAGGAAAAAAAACAGAGAAAATAAAGGGAAGCGAGAGGCAGCGAGAGACACTAGATATGCAAGCAAGCACTATCAAACTCACTACACCGCCTCGTCAGCCCTAACAGATCTGCTACACCGCCCGCCCGTTTTTTTTAGATGCATTTGCGTTCCACGGCACTGGGCTGATGGGAGGAAATCGACGCCTCTCCACGGGGACTGAGGGAGGCGAGTGTTAAGCTATGCGGTGACGTTGAGAGGAGTGGGCGACATGGGCGAGGCACGGCGAAATGATGCAGCGGCGAAATGGGCGACATGGGCGAGGCACATCGAAATCATGGGACAGCAAAATGATGGGACGAGAGGCCGAAAGGAGCCGATATAACGAACCTTGGGAGAGGTCGATGATCACACTACGAACTGGAGAGAAAACAAAACATGTGAGGAGGCACAGCGCGAGCGCGCCGCGTCTGAAGCGGTCCATCAAGTGGAGTGGACCCGGTCAGACAGCCGCACGAACTGCGCCTTCGCAACCCGGACGCGAACCTCGTATCCTTGACGACTACAAAATAATGCTCCGTTCCTGCTGGCGGATAGAAAGCTGTTGCGTTCATAGACTGATCCTGGCTGTTGCCACCATTTGCGAAAAAAGCAACTGTATTTCGTACTAAGATCACCTCAGTTCGGTGTGGTCCGTTTCTCGTGTTGACCAGGAACGACCAAATGGAACCTTGGTAGCTCCAAATCCTGGCTGGTTGCAGATGTCGAGTTTGGGCGGGAAATTGTCCTTTCATTCCCGAAGGGAGTCGCTTCGGTTTAAGGTCTCAGTTATATATAGGTTGCAACTATGCACAAACATCACTACACAGCAGAAGACAGAAATGCAAAATGGCGAGCATTTTGAGCGAGGGCGGACAGAACAAGTTGTCGAATAGCAAGGAAAGGCGAAGGTATAGGTGAACAAACTGAAATCCATGTCATAAAATACCAATAACTGGAGCCTTTGTGTGAGTGAGGGTGATACGATATGCAAAGCAAGAAAACACGCTTCTTTGGATACATGTTTGTACGTGTGCTTGAAGAATCTTGAAGGCAAGATTGGGCGAAACCAAAATCTCAAGGGTGTTGTTACAATAATACGGGGAAATAAGTCAGGGTCTTGCTCTGGGTTGATCGCAAGGTGATGCGCAACGGAAATAAATAGTGTCGACTATCAGGGTGTATGTAAAATGATATAACTGACTCTAGCAAATACATATAAATGCTTATATTGCATTAGAAGAATACGAAAGGTCCTACTTAGCCATGTACTATAAGGTGTACACGTTGACGAGTAAAGGCCTACGCTCGCTTAGGCGAAGCCGACTTAATTAACCGGTGCGCAAAGTGTGCGACTGGCTAGGCTTCGTGTCGACACCGACTTGGAAGAAGTCGGTGGGCTTAATTAGCCGACTTCGCGAAAGCCGACAGTGTTGGTGGCAGTGGCAGCAGCGGCGGTGGTGGCGGCGGCGGCGGCGGCGGCGGTGGTAGCGGCGGCGGCGGCGGTGGTAGCAGCAGCAGCGGCAGCAACAACAGGGATAGCTGTGCCAGCAGTAGTGGCGGTAGAGGCACTAATGACAACAACAGAGAGGGGAAGGGCAAGAAGAAGGAAGTGCCGGCATATCAGAAGCCATGGCCAGGGGGAACCAACCTGCTCGCATGTCTGCGAGAGATGCTACTGGGGGAGCCGTGCTACCTCCCTGCCTCCCCTGCTGCCTCTTCCACCCATCCTGCTGTGAAGGCCATTGCTGCAGTGCCGAACCATGCAAGTGCACAAGCTTTGGTTTCAAAAGCTTCTGGTCATGCTGCTTACGAGGGGTATCCGTGCGGTGCTGAGGGATGTGACAGGGTAGGGGGGGGGGGGGGGTGTAAAGCTGAGGAATTGCGGTGGTTGTGGCAAGGTGGCGTATTGCAGCAGAGAGTGCCAAAAGGCGCACTGGCCCTTCCACAAGCTCACGTGCCCAGGCAGGACCAGCGGCAAGAAGAGTGGGATGAGCAGTGGCAAGGTGAGAGAGCAAGGACAGCAGCGAGCACAGATGAATAGAGGTAGAAGCTAATAGCTGGTGTAGGTCTCAATAGTTGCTAAGTGGTGGAGAGGAGTGGAGAAGAGTGGTGATTAGGTTTACCACAGAGTAACAGGGAAGGTGCAAGGCTCGTGTTTCTGGTGTCAGTGTGAAACAATCGCTTTCCGCCAGCGAACAATGAACATACATGTGTTTTGGATTCATCTGCTTGATTGAACTCAAGATGTGTTTGCTTTCTCTGCTCCTCTTTCCTACTGCCCTTCTCTGTTCAGGACCTGCACAGGTTATGAAAACAAGTGGCTGCTAAATATCCCTCAGTCATGACACAAGACTAAGAATCGCACCTGTGCCTTCAAGAAATCTTGATATATATTCAAGTCAGAATTCAACGCTGGCGAGAATTGGCATCTGCAAACATCTAAGGCATCGAGTTTCTGGTTGCGTACAATCTGTGTACCCCTGCAATTATCTTGCCCCAAGGACCTCTGGTACTTAGTAGAGAAGCTCGCATGTAGCACAATAAGATTTGCCATATTGCGCAGCAAGATGAGACTGGAAACCCTGCTCGAACATTACCTTCTGCCATGCCATTGATCGTGCCCTAACGAGCTTGCAATCCTATTTCCCCGGTGAACAAGTTTGTTGGGGCAAAGCACGTAAGATCCGCCGGTAGCGAGATTAGTCAAAGCTCTCACTGAAAACCGCCACATGCTAGGAATAGTGATTGGTGAGCAACAAGGAAAAGATCAATGAGGGGGGGGCGGGGGGGGGGGAGGGGGGAGGGAGGACTGCTGGGTGCGTGTTGAAAGAATAACGCGCATCTCAAACTAATGATGAGGGATGAGTGTAGGTGGACAATCATGGGTGAGCCAAGATGGGTGAGCGCTGGGAGGGGATTGCTGGGTGAGCATAAAAGGAAAAACATGAGTGAGTGCTGAAGAGGGGCATGAGGGGTGAGGGCTAGGGTAATCAGGGACGAACGTGCCAGGGCAAGATTGGAGGGGTTAGCAGTGGGGAAATGTGGGGTGGGTGCAGGGAAGAAAGGGGTCAGCGTAGGGGGAATGAGGTAAGAGCATGGAGGGGCATGAGGGGTAAGTGTATGGGGAATGACGGGCTCGGGGAAAGGGGGAATGGTTGGTGAGGGCACAGGGAGAGAGGCTCCAGCATAGGGGGGTTCGAGGTCTGAGCACGGATGCTGTGAGGTGTGAGTGCAAGGGCAGGTGGAATGAGGGGTGAACGGAAGGAGAATGCGTGGAAAAGGCCGGGAGAGGGGTGAATGTCAGGTGGGCGATGTCAATCGTCTCGGTTTCGATTTCATCGTTTTTTCAGGTCCCTTTGTGTGAGTATCCGAAGTTTCCTCTATCAAATCGGTATGTTCGCAACGCACCCCAATAATGCGCCTTCCTCTAGAAGTGGCAGCAAATTGGATTCCCTCATCCACCTTTGTTGGGGATACTGTGGGTACCACCATGCAAATGCCAGCACAATAGTTAACAACATGCCTTAAATCTCTCTGTGAAAAGCCTTAATTCTCACAGTGAAAAGCTTTAAATTCCTGCTTTTCAGAGTGGAGTTAGGATCTTCTTTGCCCTGGCATGGAGGTTCCTGATACAGAGACATCAAGCACGATGCGCAATATCCAACCAGAGCATTTGCACGCAAGAAACAGGGGGGTGAATAAGGGAAGCGTTGGTGGTGGCACCTCAAGAGCGAGGGAAGAGAGTAAGGTCGTATCCCAGTCAAGTGTCAAGTTACTGTTGGTGTCAAGTGTATAATACGGAGTGACTTTTGAGAATTCTCAAAAGTTACTGTTGGTGTCAAGTGTGTAATACGGTTGACACCAACTGGAGCCGCGTGTAAGCGCGGCTCCAGCCTGGTGTCAATGTTGGGCACATTGGAAGATTTCCCGCGATCACATTGGTCAGTTTCGCTGACACCAGGAGGGATAGTCCTCCATGTGTTTTCCGAGTTGGTGTAATGACACTAGCCCATCTTGACACTTGACTGGGATAAGACCTAAGCTGAGGACGTTGGGTGGGGCCACATTGCCCCCGGCAATGAAAAGGAGTGAGACTGCATGGAGGGGCAAAAGGTTTGCCCAGCACATGGGGAGGCTTGGAGGCACCTCAAGAGCAGGGGAGTGGAAGAAGCTGAGAAGTTTGGGTGGCAACAACACATTGCCCCCAGCAATGCACTCCAAAATGCATTTAGCAGGAACTACCGTAGCAAATGCTGCTTAGTGCATGTGGGAGGAGGTGAGGGGAGCAAAAGATGCAGGGGAGTAGAAGAAGCTGAGGAGGTTGGGTGGCAGCACATTGCCCCAGCTACGAAAAGGAGTGAGACTGCATGGAGGGGCAAAAGGTTTGCACAGCTCAGCACATGCGGAGGCTTGGAGGCACCTCAAGGTTGGGTGGGCCCACATTGCTCCCAGAAATGCCGATTTACAGTATCCTTCAACCTTTCTCGGGGAAGGGAGCAAGAGTGCAAGTTGAGGTGTGTTGACTTGCAGTTGCTGCTTTAGTGCACGTAAGAGGAGAAGGTGAGGGAAGCATAGAATGAGCAGAGAAGATGTGGAGAAAAAACAAACAGTACAGCTGCCCTGGGCAGCAATGCACTTATCAGTTGGTGAGGGTAGCTTAAAAAAAGCTCAGAAGGATGCAGAAATGGATCATCTTAACACCCCGGCACGTCATCATGGTGACGAGATGTCTAATGCGCATCCGGGGAATCGAACCCCGGTCAGTACCGTGGGAGGGTACTATGATACCACTACACTAGATGCACATATCGCAATATGCGAGCAAAAACATATTTAGCTTGAATCGTAATAAGTGAAACACATGAGCACAAGACATGAAGAGCACTTTGGCAGGGCTGAGGCCGTTCCAGACGCAACTTACTTGCTATAATAGTGGGAAAAGGTGGCCATGACAGCTTTGATGCCGCTGCTGGTGCTGGTGCTATGAAAGATTAGGATAGGGGCGGGAGGCCGAAGACAAGGAAAAGGGTGTTGCTCATGACAGGTCTCATGGGCTTTGGTGCTGCTGCTGCTGTGGGCAGGAAGCTTCCTTGAATTACAGGGTCCGGGCTGAAGAGGTTGACATTTGGAGGCACGATGCCCTGGAAATGTCTTGGTTGGGGAACGGGGAGTGAGGGGGAGTGTATTGGATAGAAATAGAGTGGAGGGAAGGGAGAGGAGGGAAGGGAGTGGGGCAAGCAGAGGAGGTTTTGGAGAGGTGGGGGAGGAAAGGTGACTTTGAGTTGACTCATAAGTCAAAGACGTTAACGTTGGGAGGCAACATGCCCTGGAAAAGCGGGGTGTGGGCAGGAAGGGGAGGGGTTGGGTCGGAATAGGCAAAGCAGAGGTGGGGTTGGAGAGGAATTTTAAGTTGACTTATGAATTTAAGTGGTTGCGTTAGGAAGCACCACGCCTTGAAGAGTGGGGGGCGGGGGAAGCAGGAAAGGGGGGGTTCTCCGAGAGGAGGGGGAGAAGGAAAGCAGAGGAGGGGTTGGGAAGGAACGAGGGGAGGCAAGCAGAGGAAGGGTTGGGGAGTAGAGACCCGAGGGAGAGGAGATCAGGCAGGAGGAGCAGATGGACGGAGATTGACAACTGTAGGAAAGAAGCTTCACTGGATAGCAGAGTCAGAGCCAGGGAGGTGATGGCAGGAGGAATAAAAAAAGTTATAATGGGGAGTGTGGTTGAGAGTAGGGAAGGAGGGGAAGAGCAAATGGATGCACCTAATTGGTTGACTGTGTGTGGCTGGAACCTGCATGGTGGCCTGGTGCCAGGAGGTTGGGGTGAATCTGTTTTTTTTTTCTCTCTCTCAAAAAACAGATTTAGGGCGGCTTGGGTGACGTGGCTCATACTGCCTTCTTTGAGTATTCTCCAAAACATCTCAGATTGACGTTGACTGAAATCATATCAACACACTCACACCTGCTTCTACCGCCCCTGCAGCCCTCATGCCATGTGAACAGGTGAGCATGTGAGTATGTGAGCATGTGACCATGTGAGTATGTGAGTGAGTGAGTATGTGAGCATGTGAGCATGTGAGTATGTGAGCATGTGAGCATGTGAGCATGTGAACATGTGAGCATGTGAGCATGTGAGCATCTGTCTGTGCCATCACAATGCCATACATACATGGTGCAGTGCCATGACTGCAACAACTGCTTCTACCTACCGCCCCTGCAGTGCCATGTGAACATGGTGTATGCTCTGAACCACTTGTGATATACCGATTTACTGTACTACGCTTACCTACACATGTTCTCGCCTTGTACTCAGTGAGTTTAGTACCTCTCAGATTGGTCATCACTGGTCAGTCAAACCGAGCTTGGTGCTTTCTATCCGTTTCTTATTTTGATTGTGACATGCCATGACCGCAACAGCTGCTTATACCTACCGCCCCTGCAGTGCCTTTTTTTGCATGCGAGCATTGCGTACAATACAATACAATACAATACAATACAATACAATACAATACAGTGCCACACTCACATGACAGCAGCATGCGAGGGAGGGAGATACGGGAGATACTGCGCATGTGAGCACGCACAGTGCTATACTCACATGATGTCAAGCAACAGTGCCATGGCAGCACACTCACATGATGTCAAGCAACAGTGCCATGGCAGCACACTCACATGATGTCAAGCAACAGTGCCATGGCAGCACACTCACATGATGTAGAGCCATGGCACCAAACAGCTGCTTCCACCACCCCGGCAGCCCTGATGTCATGGCATTCTATCCAGCTCTTGTATTGTGCAAGTGAGCATCATGCAAAATACAATGCCTCACTCACATGGTGTAGGGCCATCACAGCAACAGCTGCTTCCACCGCTCCTGTGGCCCCCAACAGATGACCCATCGCTCCCTGCCATGCACATGCACATCCACAAATGCACATGCACGCATGCAAGAAGTAGACAAACATGCACACGATCATGCATATATACGCACACATAGCACGCACACATAGCACGCACACATAGCACGCACACATAGCACGCACACATAGCACGCACACATAGCACGCACACATAGCACGCACACATAGCACTCACACATAGCACGCACACATAGCACGCACACATAGCACGCACACATAGCACGCACACATAGCACGCACACATAGCACGCACACATAGCACGCACACATAGCACGCACACATAGCACGCACACATAGCACGCACAAAGTCTCACTAGTGTTAGCCACAGCACGTGCTTGTGCCACAGCACGTGCTTGGGCCACATTCCTGAGGCACATCAAAAGGGAGGCGCCTCAAACCGAGACGTTTCTTGTCGGTAGCAGACAGGTGGGCTGCGTAGGCCTTATTTCCAGCATCACTTGTTATGACGACGAAACAAACCCCATGGGCTAGGTGAGTGCATGAAAGGAAGGAGCCTGGTTGAGTGCATTTCTTGGAGAGCCAGAAAAAATAGTTTCTCATCAGCACAAGCCTGAATCTGAGAATTGAAATGAGCAAGCAAGCACGGTTCAAATACTGAACGCACAAGCTAGGCTAACCAGGAGAGAAAGCGGTAAGCTAAAGATGGCGAGGCGGATATGAGATTGAAGCAACGAGTGGAGGAGACGACGTCAACCCTGTTCAAAAGACAGCACATGCGTGGGCCACACTCCTGATTTGAGGCGTCATAAGTGAGGCGCCTCAAAACGAGAAGTTACTTTTGGTGTTCAGGCACGAGGGCAAGGGGCCCCAACCAGTTAAGTGCCATGACTTTGCAACCAGTTAAGTGCCATGACTTAGCAACCAGTTAAGTGCCATGACTTTGCATGGCAGCAACTGTTGTTTAGAGTAAGAGTTGTTGTAGGCCTGCTTGTAAATAAATCCTCCGAGTAAGTTTTTTTTTATGGTACAAGCGAGAAGATGATCTTGGTTGATTTTGAGGCAAAAGTGCAAGTGAAACAACCACTGCCTCTGTTTGAGGAACCTCATTTAAAGGGTAATGGGGAAGGGGGATGGGGAAGGGGGATGGGGAAGGGGGATGGGATAGGGGCATGCACACGAATGGCATGGCTTGCAAGGGGAATGGGGCACAGAAATGGAATGAGGAAGGGGAAGGGACGGAGGAAAGGAATACAGGAGAAGCCATCTCTGGACTTGTCAAACGGCCACGAGGGCACCCAAGGTGAGGCGTGTCGTTAAAGCCCGTGCTGAGAGCTCGCATGCTGGTGGGCAAGGGAGAGGGGGAGTTGGGTTGGGGGGTAGGGGGGAAGAGGGGGGGGGGGAAGGGGAGGGGGGGAAGATAGGTGCGCACCAGGTATTAAGCAAGGTACTTGTGCACTCCAAGGTGAGGCGTGTCATTGAAGCGTGTGCTGAAAGAAAGCTCGCATGCTGGTGGGTGGGGGGAAGCGGGGGGAAGGAAGTGTTGGGGGGAGGGGGAGTGGAGGGGGAGGGGAAGCAGGGAGAGGGAAGCTAGGGGCGGGGGGGGAGAAGGGGAGGGTGGAAGAGGGTGTATAGGAGCAGGGTGAAGGATGGTGGGTGCATAAGTTGTGTGTGTTTGAGTCACTTTCGAGAATCATCAAAAGCTTCTCAAAGGCTGCATGCTTGCGCTCCCAAGCTGATGCATGCCATTGAAACGAGTGCTGAGATGAGAGCGCTCATGGTGGTGGGTGGGAGGGGAAGAGAGGCGGAAGAGGAGGGAGAGAGGGGGAAAGGGTAGATGCACAGGTAACACGACACTCGTGTGTGCTTCCAAGTTGGGGAGCATTATTGAGAAGAGTGCTGAGAGCTCACATGATGGGGGGTGGGGGGGGAGGGGGGGGGGGGAGGAGGGGGGGGGGGTTTGGCGAGAGCGGAGGATGTGGGGAGATGGGGGCCATAGTAACAGGTCACTGGAAAAACGAACCGGTATGGTTCAGACCCGACTCCATGCAAAACCGGTTCAGTTATTAGAGTATGAGCAGGGTACTGAACCAAATCGGCATTATGAATAGCCCCTCGACTTGAGAGGGGCGCAGGGTGGGGACTATAAAGGCGCCTTCCAGATATCCCACCTGTGACGTGACAACCGCCAGCAGTTGTGGCAGGGGAGGTGGCATCTGGGGCAGGCAGGCCATGCTGTTATCGAATAACCTGAAACGGTTCAGACAGAATCGGAGTCTCGGCGGGGTGGCGTACCTGTGACAAGAACCCTCCATTGCAGCACAGGAAGGGGAGGCGGCATCTGGGGCAGGCGTACGTGCTGGTCCCCATGTTATCACTTGTAACGGCCCTAAGTGGAGGGGGTACCTGTGATAACAACCCGCCGTTGCGGCACAGAAGGGGGAGGCAGCAGCTGGGGGAGGTCCTTGTGCTGCGGTAACTGCTGCTGTGGTGGACGCTCAGACGGGGACGAAGGGAACCCTGGCGGTGCTGCAGTGCTCGTGGAGAAAGGGCGGACAGAGTGAGGCAAGGAGTGCGGTGATAGGGAGTGAGGGGAGAGGGAGTGAGGTGGGAGGGAGTGAGAGGAGTGGGACTGAGAAGAGTGGGAGTGAGGAAGGGGCGAGTTCGAAGAGTTAGGCTACGGAAGAGTTTGCGAAATCTGGAGCTTTGGACGGGCGTGACGCGGACGAGGGCATGCGAGACGACCTCCGCGCCAACGTGGATCCAGAAACGGCTGAGATTGCTGCTGCCGTGGAATGGACGGCTGAGATTAGCGTTGGATGAGCGCAGGGAGTGGGCGAAGGCCTCGAGAACGCCGGTGTGAGTGGCCATGCTGGTAAAGCGCAAAATGTACTACTTGGAATGAGATTGGAGAGATGTGGGTGGGACGGCGAAGGGAGAAGATAGGAGAGATTTGACTTGATGGATGGGATTTTGATAGATGTGCCGGTGCTGTCGATGCTGCGAAAGCACCTGCTGCTGTCAATCCTGCAAATGATCCTGCTGCTGCTGTTCTTCCGAACGCGCCTGCTGCTGCGCGATGCTTCACGCGCACATGCGGCCGCTGCCGATGCTCGAAACGCACCTGCTGCTGAAATCTGCTGCGGCTTGCGCGCTCATAAATCTCTTGCTGCTGCCGCGGATGCTGCTGCGCACACCTGCGCGTTCATTAACTATTAACGCGCACCTGCTGCTGCGGCGGACGCTGGTGCGCGCAGGTGCGCGCTCATAAGCTTCTAGCGCGCACCAGCTGCTGCTGCGGATGCTGCTGCGCCTTCCTCGTCCCAACGAGGCTTGCGCACATGCACCGGAGGCTTCGCTAAAGCATCTGCCTGTGCTCACGCACGTGCTGCCGCTTCTCCAACAAAGTTGGGTCGACAATTTTGTTCATTACCTTGTCAAGTTCGGAAAGAAGGTCAAGAGGTGCAAACTGACGGGCACATCTGAGCCTGCTCCCTTTGTCAGCAACCTGGTTACAAAACGAGACAACGGGAGAGGGTTAAATGTGAAGGGCTGTCGCTGGAGAAGCAATCCACGGCATTTGTTGACAAGGAGAGCTCTCGATGGCATTTTGAGCATTGTCTTGAAAACTCAAATCGCTAATACGTCCTCTCGAAGAAGAGTCAGATTCTCTGTCGACATAAATGGCAGCGCTTCGATGCTCGCGAAAAGCAGAAGATGGAAAAACTTGTGAATCGATGGAAGGTTGAAGCTGTCTGATGAGTTGCGAACGGATTTTTTTTTTTTTTTTTTTTTTTTTTTTTTTTTTTTTTGGTGGTGTGTATTTTTTTTTTTTTTTTTTTGGAAAACGCAGCCTCAAGAACACCCCAGTAGAACAGCACATAAGGAACCCCAAAAGACACCCCAACGAGATACCCCCAACGAGACACCCCAACGAGACACCCCAACGAGACACCCCAACAATACGCCCCATCTAACCAAACCCCCCACCCCCCTCACCTAAACCCACCCTCTAAACCCGCATGTCCACCAAATAGGGCGCATCCGCCCACGGAGCATCCCATCCCATCTCCTCCTCAAAATCCTCCCGCTCCACCGAAACAGCCTCTGGGCCTCTCATCATCGACGCTGCGCGCAACAAGATCACACGCGCCTGAGCCCGCTGCAAAGCCACACCTATGGCCGCTTTAAGTGATCCAAGCAAGTAAGCCGAGAAACCTTTCCCCGTAGCTCTCGCCGCCCCTTTCGTCTTCGCTACCTCAATCTGCGCGTCGCCCTGTTTCTTAAGCCACCGCCCAAAACTCCCCCCCAGGCAACCCCATGTCTCAGCAATGAGAGGTGTAAACTGCACTCCCCTATGTCGCTGCAGAAGCAATTTGTAGTCCGCCGCCTTCCGCTTTTCCCTCTCTCTAGCGGCAAAACCCACCTTGCGACCAATCTGTCCATGGTGCTGCGCGGACAACGAGATAGGGTCCACCACACTAACCTCCAGCGCATGCTCCTCCCCCTCCCTCAGTCTCCGCACCGCCACATCCACCCTCTTCCCTGGCAGCAACGTGGCGTCTTCCATGGTCACGACCCCACCCGCCCCTTTAGCTATCTTCGCCACCACAAACTTAACCGCGTCGTGAACACGAGAAGGTGCGTACTGGTACTTGCAGCGAAGGGCATGATGCGGGTCAGAGGGATCAGCAAACTCAAACCCACACGCGCACTTGCCGGCGACTATCAGCTGCTGTATGGGGAGGCCTAGGCGCATGGACGCACAGATGCTCCACTCGGCTGCGGTGAAGGTAGCCTCTTCGTGCGAAGGGACGGCGGAGACCCACGCCCCTGCCCCCGGGCCCTGAAGGGATGTCAAACGGGCCATGGTGGCGTCGTCGTGGGCCATACCCCGAAGAGTCTGCAGACTCTCAACCGCTAGGCGACGGTGTTGTGTGGGGAAAAGCAGCACAGGGGGGTCAGCGGTGCATAAGGCTAGGGGTGGCATCTCCTGCCTGACCGACTGTGGCAGCAGCTCCACTGCTCTCGCAAACCAAGGATCCAGCAAGGTCGTAGCCTCGGGCGTGCGGAAAAAACTCCTCAAACATCCGTTCCTCCCCTGCCACCCCCATCCGAGCCACATCGCTCACTGCCTGGCACCAACCACATGCGTACGACAGAGGGCTAAGGTCAGCTGCAGATCGAATGCCAAACCCTCCAAGTCTGGCTGGAAGGTGCAGCTGTAGACGGGCCATCTGCGACCTTGCCGAATCATGATCCCAGGTGCTATCTGGAAACAGCTGCTCAAAACAATCCTCAAGCTTCGTGTCCCAGTCGCGGAAAGCCTCCACAACCTCAGGCCGTGGAGGCATCGTCCTTGTGAGGTAAATCGGGCGCGCTGACACTGCGATCGCCAGCAGATGGGACGCAATCTGTGGGTGGTCGAGCAAAGGAAGCCAAGGGACAGGTGCATGCAGCTGCATCAGCCGGCCTCGCAAGCTGGCCACCTCCCACTCCTCCTCCCCAATAGGAACCCCCACTACGGTGAGCCCCGTCCATGTTTGCTGCATGCCGGGCGGGACGGTCTCGGTCCTCTCCTCTCCCTCCTGGTCCACCCCTCGCTCCCAAAGCTTGCACTTATGCGGCTGCACCTCCAGACCAAGCCCGCCCAGTCGTTCCCGCAAGACCTCATAAGCTGCTAGCACCCGCTCCCTAGGCCCCAAGATGTACGTATCATCGGCGTAGCTGAGAAAGAGTAGGTCGGCGAATTCTTGTTTGGTGGGCTCCATAACCAGCTGCTGTGTGAACGCGAACAGAAACGGCCCCAATGGGTCCCCTTGCCTCGATCCTCGCTCTGAAGCCAAAGCTTCGACGAAGGGGCCCGCACGGAGGTAGAGGTCGCTAGGAGTGCCGTAGAAGACACGCAGGAATGGGATCAAACCCGCAAAAGGCGACTGTCGAAGTCCTTCAAACATTTCCCGCCGATGGAAGGAGTTGAAAGCATTCGCCACATCAATTTGAAGCGCGCACCATGACGGGTGAGTAGAGATGGCAGAACGAAAGGCATGTGCGAGGACTTCCACTCCCGACCTGGATCCGACTCCTAGCTGGTTACACGGCGCAAAGTGCGACATCATCTTCGGCCGAAGCACGATGCATAGGGCCCGAGATAGTATGCGGGGGAGCACCTCGCCTATAGCCACCGGGCGAACGTCACCATTCGGCTTCGACAGGCCCACAAGGTTGGACGCAGTGAGCCAGGGTCGCACGCGCTCCGCTACCTCTCCCTTGGTCCACTGGGTGAAGACTCCTAGCAGGTGAGGCAGGTATGCGGGCTCAGAGAGAAAAGTGTCGCGCAGGTGCTCCGTCACCCACCCCGACGGTCCTGGTGCCGACGCCCTAGCCGCAGAGTGGATCGCCTGACCAAGTACCTCCACTGAGAGCTGCGGGATAAGGGAAGGCTCAACTATCTCCTCCTGCAACCACTCCGGAAAGGCGGTCTCGCTCGATGGGTGTTTCGCTCGCAGCGCGTCCACCATGTGCTGAGAGGGCTGAGCGATGCTACCGGCAGTAAGACACGTCAAACCCCGACTCCATTCTCCCACTTTGCACCTTGTGCGGCAGCGAGCCAGGCACACCGCATCAGGATCATGCTCGGGGGGGGTGAAGGACAAAGGACGCGCCGCAGGTTGCATTACCGCCACCGCCAACTCAAACAGCTCCCACCACTCCCCGACCCAAAACTTCTCCAACCGCTCCCTGATTGCCGCCCTATGCCCCTGGCCTTGCCCAGTTGGCATCCCCAAGATAAGACGAGGGAAGGCCAAAAAGACCAAGGACGCCGCCTCGTCTGCTGCCTTTAACTGTAGCCGCTTCAGGACACAAGACAGTGCATCAAGCACCCCCAATCTAGCGCGCTGTGGGATACGACGCATGATTCTCCCTGGCACCAATTCGATCCCAAAAAACGACTCCCAGTCCCATGTAGGAACTGCGGCCCATACCTCTTCACTGATATCACGTGGTGGCGGGGGTTCGCCGTCCGAGTCATCTGTGACGTCGCGGGTCAACCCAAGCGCCTGAGCACGACGCTGGGCGTCCGCTGCCCTGCAGGCCGACATATGGCGTGTGGCCTTTCCTCTCTCCGTGAACGTGCGATAACAGGTTTCGCACGGAATGCGGGGCGGGGATGTCAATGTAGGGTCTGGGTGCTCCTCTCCACTCGAACACGCCGGCAAGACCCTCCTGCTAGACTCCGTCTCCATGCCCCCCTCTAACGGCCTTGCAAGCTCCATCCCTCCGCACTGCAGCTGCTGCTGCCCTCCGCTCTGCAACTGCTGCTGCCCTTCGCTCTGCAATTGCCGTTGCCCTCCGCTCTGCAGCTCCTGCTGCCCTCCGCTCTGCAGCTGCTGCTGCCCTCCGCTCTGCAGCTGCTGCTGCCCTCCGCTCTGCAGCTGCTGCTGCCCTCCGCTCTGCAGCTGCTGCTGCCCTCCGCTCTGCAGCTGCTGCTGCCCTCCGCTCTGCAGCTCCCGCTGCCCTCCGCTCGGCAGCTGCTGCTGCCCTCCGCTCTGCAGCTGCTGCTGCCCTCCGCTCTGCAGCTGCTGCTGCCCTCCGCTCTGCAGCTCCTGCTGCCCTCCGCTCTGCAGCTGCTGCTGCCCTCCGCTCTGCAGCTGCTGCTGCCCTCCGCTCGGCAGCTGGTGCCCTCCGCTCTGCAGCTGCTGCTGCCCTCCGCTCGGCAGCTGCTGCTGCCCTCCGCTCTGCAGCTGCAGCTGCCCTCCACTCGGCAACTGCTGCTGCCCTCCGCTCTGCAGCTGCTGCTGCCCTCCGCTCTGCAGCTGCTGCAGTTTGGTTGCCCGTCGCCTCCGGCCCCGGCCCCGCGCTCGGGGCCTTTCCGCTTGGTCCGGGGAATCAGGGTTGGCATTCTCCCCCTCCATGGGGCTTGATTCCAGCTCATCGGTGCAAGCCTCGTCCGCCATCTCCACATCCAACACCCAAACCGGCTCTTGCTGCCCTCCGCTCTGCAGCTGCTGCTGCCCTCCGCTCTGCAGCTCCCGCTGCCCTCCGCTCGGCAGCTGCTGCTGCCCTCCGCTCTGCAGCTGCTGCTGCCCTCCGCTCTGCAGCTTCTGCTGCCCTCCGCTCTGCAGCTCCTGCTGCCCTTCGCTCTGCAGCTCCTGCTGCCCTCCGCTCTGCAGCTGCCGCTGCCCTCCACTCGGCAGCTGCCGCTGCCCTCCGCTCGGCAGCTCCTGCTGCCCTCCGCTCTGCAGCTGCTGCTGCCCTCCGCTCGTCAGCTGCTGTTGCCCTCCGCTCTGCAGCTCCTGCTGCCCTCCGCTCTGCAGCTCCTGCTGCCCTCCGCTCTGCAGCTCCTGCTGCCCTCCGCTCTGCAGCTCCTGCTGCCCTCCGCTCTGCAGCTGCTGCTGCCCTCCGCTCGGCAGCTGCTGCTGCCCTCCGCTCGGCAGCTGCTGCTGCCCTCCGCTCTGCAGCTGCTGCTGCCCTCCGCTCGGCAGCTGCTGCTGCCCTCCGCTCTGCAGCTGCTGCTGCCCTCCGCTCGGCAGCTGCTGCTGCCCTCCGCTCTGCAGCTGCTGCTGCCCTCCGCTCGGCAGCTGCTGCTGCCCTCCGCTCTGCAGCTGCTGCTGCCCTCCGCTCGGCAGCTGCTGCTGCCCTCCGCTCTGCAGCTGCTGCTGCCCTCCGCTCGGCAGCTGCTGCTGCCCTCCGCTCTGCAGCTGCTGCAGTTTGGTTGCCCGTCGCCTCCGGCCCCGGCCCCGCGCTCGGGGCCTTTCCGCTTGGTCCGGGGAATCAGGGTTGGCATCCTCCCCCTCCATTGGGCTTGATTCCAGCTCATCGGTGCAAGCCTCCTTCGCCATCTCCACATCCAACACCCAAACCGGCTCTTGCTGCCCTCCACTCCGCAGCTGCTGCTGCCCTCCGCTCTGCAGCTCCCGCTGCCCTCCGCTCGGCAGCTGCTGCTGCCCTCCGCTCTGCAGCTGCTGCTGCCCTCCGCTCTGCAGCTGCTGCTGCCCTCCGCTCTGCAGCTCCTGCTGCCCTTCGCTCTGCAGCTCCTGCTGCCCTCCGCTCTGCAGCTGCCGCTGCCCTCCACTCGGCAGCTGCCGCTGCCCTCCGCTCGGCAGCTCCTGCTGCCCTCCGCTCTGCAGCTGCTGCTGCCCTCCGCTCGGCAGCTGCTGTTGCCCTCCGCTCTGCTGCTCCTGCTGCCCTCCGCTCTGCAGCACCTGCTGCCCTCCGCTCTGCAGCTCCTGCTGCCCTCCGCTCTGCAGCTCCTGCTGCCCTCCGCTCTGCAGCTCCTGCTGCCCTCCGCTCTGCAGCTGCTGCTGCCCTCCGCTCGGCAGCTGCTGCTGCCCTCTGCTCGGCAGCTGCTGCTGCCCTCCGCTCTGCAGCTGCTGCTGCCCTCCGCTCGGCAGCTGCTGCTGCCCTCCGCTCTGCAGCTGCTGCTGCCCTCCGCTCGGCAGCTGCTGCTGCCCTCCGCTCTGCAGCTGCTGCTGCCCTCCGCTCGGCAGCTGCTGCTGCGCTCCGCTCTGCAGCTGCTGCTGCCCTCCGCTCGGCAGCTGCTGCTGCCCTCCGCTCTGCAGCTGCTGCAGTTTGGTTGCCCGTCGCCTCCGGCCCCGGCCCCGCGCTCGGGGCCTTTCCGCTTGGTCCGGGGAATCAGGGTTGGCATTCTCCCCCTCCATGGGGCTTGATTCCAGCTCATCGGTGCAAGCCTCGTCCGCCATCTCCACATCCAACACCCAAACCGGCTCTTGCTGCCCTCCGCTCTGCAGCTGCTGCTGCCCTCCGCTCTGCAGCTGCTGCTGCCCTCCGCTCGGCAGCTGCTGCTGCCCTCCGCTCTGCAGCTGCTGCTGCCCTCCGCTCGGCAGCTGCTGCTGCCCTCCGCTCTGCAGCTGCTGCTGCCCTCCGCTCGGCAGCTGCTGCTGCCCTCCGCTCTGCAGCTGCTGCTGCCCTCCGCTCGGCAGCTGCTGCTGCCCTCCACTCTGCAGCTGCTGCTGCCCTCCGCTCGGCAGCTGCTGCTGCCCTCCGCTCTGCAGCTGCTGCAGTTTGGCTGCCCGTCGCCTCCGGCCCCGGCCCCGCGCTCGGGGCCTTTCCGCTTGGTCCGGGGAATCAGGGTTGGCATTCTCCCCCTCCATGGGGCTTGATTCCAGCTCATCGGTGCAAGCCTCGTCCGCTATCTCCACATCCAACACCCAAACCGGCTCCTGCTGCCCTCCGCTCTGCAGCTCCTGCTGCCCTCCGCTCTGCAGCTCCTGCTGCCCTCCGCTCTGCAGCTCCTGCTGCCCTCCGCTCTGCAGCTCCTGCTGCAACTTGTGAATCGTTGGAAGGTTGAAGCTGTCTGATGAGTTGCGAACGGATTTATCATGGCACACTCTCTGTCTACATACACAGCCGCGCTCCTACGCTGGGGAAGTACACATAACGAATCCATCAAGATACTGGAGATTCCGAGACGATTAGGGCGTGTATCCATTTTGCCATTTTGTATTTTTGGGGATAATCCGCAGATAATAGCAGATAATATATTTATGTCATTTGATATACATAGTTTTTTATGGACTGGAAATATGATAGAACTAATGGTAGTATATGCGCGCTCATATTGGTTCTTGGGCGACCCTTTATCACCTAAATATATGGTCGTGAATTATATGACCGTGCGTGATTGGACGCGCATTGCCAAAAAGGGCAAGAAGCATATTATCGACCAATTGTGCGCGGTCAATAATATGTTCGTGCATTTATGCTCTGGCGTTGCAGTTTATGAACGCTGATGTATTTGCCCGCGCGCTCATTGGTTACGAGCAATTTATATGCTCGAGCGCTTATTGGTTACGAATTTGTTTGCCCGCGCGCTCATTGGTCGCGCATTGGGGCAAAAATGGCCGCGCATATACTGTTGGTCGGGCCACGTTCGCGCCCGCCAACCACCCGAAGTTTTCGGGTGGGGAATAGTACGAATCACTACCGCTTGATGAAACTCGTGCGAACGAGGAATTTCGGGGATACAAACCCTGGTAGGGTAATGTGCCGGAGAAAAAAAAACACCTCGAAAATGCCCTGTCGTGGCCACTCGAGCAATTATCACTGAATTGGATGGCCACTCGAGCAATTTGGGGACACGTGGGCAAGAGCGAATCACCAAACAAGGCATTGGAGCAATTCTCTCCCGTTTTCCTCGCGCAGGCACGCCAAGGGCATGGCAGTGCCCACCAAACCTCGCCCGAGCCTGGTGTTTGTGATTCCCGCACCTCAGCTGCGCTGGGCCTACGCCAGCCAAGCTCACAGCGAATCAAATTTCAGGGCCATAGGAACCGAAAGCTCCGCCCTTGGAGCTTGAGCTGGCAAGCCGAATCTTTCGCGACATAGGGTAGTGTACATCAGAATAGCGAGAGTTGTATTTTTTCTCCTTACTAGAAAGTTTGTGAAAGTCGGACTAGCTGAAAGGGCGAGTCACTCTGGCCTCACTCTGACCACATAAGAGTTCTGGGTTGAGGTTCTAGTTCCCACAAGGCTGATTGTCAGGACACCCTGTCCAGTCATGTCCAGGAGATTCAGATCAGAACACTATTTGTATCAGAGTAATAATATATTGTAAGTCTATAACATTAGGCTAGTACAACAATTTACCCCTCATAGGTCACTATGTTGGACCCTGGGAGTGTGCTATTCTAATCGAGCTACCACTGAGTCAGAACACGTGGGAGTGTGCTATTGGAGCTTGCCTTCACTGTGTGATATCCTCCGACCTCCAGGCCAGGGAGATATCTGAAGCCTAATCTGATTGCTGTCCGCGTGACATGCAGTATTGTAGAGACCGTTACAACACAGTTAGCCGATTCTTGGAGGAACGCGAACGATGCCATCCTTATCGACAAAGATACGAACGCGGTTTGTGCGATAATCCATTGTGGCGAATCCCCTATTCGGAATAATTCGCACGTCCCAGTTACACTCTGGCATCGATGTCAAGATGTAATTGCGAGCCTTTTCGCCCGTCATGCCGACCACCTCTGGCCATGACGTCTTGCTGCCATGGGTAAAAAACGGGAGGATGATAGGGGAAAATATGATTTGAGTAGGGAGCGGTAAGAGACGGGAAGACATTTTTTTGGAAGGTCGAAAAGTGGAAATGCGATGGGACGGGAGAGAGTTCTGAAGATAATGGTCCGAAGAATTTGGGAAGTTGTGGTTTGCGGCAGGAAAGAGTACATCAGGGGAGAGGAGAGGGGAGAGGGGAAAGGAGAGGGGAGAGGAGAGGAGAGGGGAGAGGAGAGGGGAGAGGGGAGAGGAGAGGGGAGAGGGGAGAGGAGAGGGGAGAGAGGAGAGGAGAGGGGAGAGGAGAGGGGAGAGGGGAAAGGAGAGGGGAGAGAAGAGGGGAGAGGGGAGACGGAAGAGAGGCAGAGACGGGGGAGGGGGGCGGGAAAAAAGGAGAGAGGAGCGGGGAGGATGGGAGAGGTGTGGGAGGAGAGAGAAGGGAAGAGGGAAGTGCAGTGGAGAGGAGAGGAGGGGATAGTGGAAAGGGTCCAAAAGAGGCTTGGGCAGGGACAGTCACAGGGATGGGAAGGTAGGGTAGATGCGATATAGGCTGTTATGTAATGTAGGCCGTGATGGGATATAAACCATAATGCATAAGTTTCACGCAAGAAAAGCAGGTGGCCACTTCGTAAGCATTTTTTAAACAAAAAAAATGCAACCCACCTGCTACAGTTCTCCTCAGCGATTTGCTTAGGTAGACGCGGATGATTGGCGCCACCGCCACCACCGCCGCCATTCTTGTTCGGCTGAGCGCCACCGTTCTTGTTCGTCTGTGCGCCGCCGCCCCCGCCGCCATTCTTATTCGGCTGCGTGCCACCGTTCTTCTGACCATTGGGCGCATTTCCATCCTTCACGTTTCCGCTCGTTGGCGACTTTGGCGAAGGTCCCCCTGCCGCAGTGCCGTTCCCCCTATGGTGCCCCTTGTTCGGATGCCCGCCCTTCGTTCGGTTCCCCGCTACCGTCCCGTTCGCCGCATGACGCGGGTGGCGGGGGGGCGCGGTGGTGGCTTTCCCTGTGGCCGGCGGAATCTCCCCCCCTGTGGGCTGCCCCCTAGGCGGAAGAGTGCGCGAGGAGGCGAAGAGCGGAAGCAGCGCGACGGAGACGAGGAGGAGCAGGAGGAGAGGGGGGCGAGGAAGCTTCATGGTGTCTATACAGAGCAGCTGGTCAGGAAATTTTGAGTTGAATGTACCGAGCGCCCTTGCTGCCTCTGATGTCGTGCGCGAGGATCTGACGGGGATGGGAGGGGGTGCAGGCATGTGGGGTGGTGGGGCCATAAGGGAATCAGCCGACCCTCTGTGACTCTTAGCCTCGGCTAGCCTCTGTGGTCCTGAGCCACGCCTAACCGAGCCTCTGACTCTGAGCCTCCGCCATCCGAGCCTCTGTGACTCTGAGCCTCGGCTAGACGAGCCTCTGTTACTGTTGAGCCTCTGCTATCCGAGCATCTGTGGCTCTGAGCTTCGGCTAGCCGAGCCTCTGTAACTCTGAGCCTCGGCTAGCCGAGCCTCTGTGTCTCTGAGCCTAGGCTAGCGGAACCTCTGTAACTCTGAGACCAGGCTAGGCGGTGGGATTCATGCAGCAGACGAAGTCCCGGCGAGGACGCGAGGAGGGCGAGACAGGATGGGACAACGACGCGTCGAGGACGCGACGAGAATAGGACGAAGACTCGACGAGGATAAGACGGGGACGCGACGAAAATGGGACAATGACGCGTCGAGGATACGATGAGGATGAGACGGTGATGCGACGAGAACGTGACGAGGACGCGACGAGGACGCGACGAGGATAAGACGAGGATAAGACGAGGATGGGACAAGGAATGTCCCCACGGGGGCCAAGATTTTAAGAGCGGAGGCTGGGGTCCATAGCGACTGGCTAGGCATGGCTAGGTAAAAGTTACAGAAGTTGTGAGGGGGGAAAGGACGTGGTTTAGAGGTGTACCCTGTGCGAAGCGCTGGTGAAGAGTGAACGGAAACGAAGTCCTCCGGTTAATGCAAGACGGATCGATCGAGAGGTGCCTACTAAGTTGACGCGGAACCTGAGTCTGCTCCAGACGCCGATACTACGGTTGTCGCGCTGTGAGATGTGCTAATTAAACTCGGATATTTGGTTGTTCTAAGTTCGATTGCAATAGCTCTCTATAAATACGTATGTTGGACAAGAAGAGAAAGCGAGGAATATCAAGACGTATGGCGGACGGGAACGTAAGGTGTCGGACTCGCAAGAAGTTGCTATGAACCTGGGTGTAATGCTGTCCACGAATCGCAAGAAGCTTTAGTTAGCGGTCTATAACTCAACTCAATCCCTTCAAGAATTAGAAGCTGGCAGATGACTGTGCCTCAGTTTTGACCTCTCGAGTCCAAATCACCAATGTCGGGATTGATTGGGACGTGAGCTTCCCGCCTAATTTGGCGCACGTCCCAAAGGCGCGCCGCGAATGTGCGATTCGAGGCCGGGTTTGATATGCCAGCGCAAAATGTGGCTGTGGAAACAACGAAACGTCTGACCCAATCCCATTCAGGTGGTGGTGGTGGTGATGTTCACGCGCGGCCCCAAATGTGGAACATCGAATGTCAGAACAGTTTCGAGGATGGCCGCCACAAAAACCCGCGCAGGCACAATGCCCAAGCCCATCACCCCTCGGGGTGAGGGGAAACGGCGAGGGATGCCGCCGTCACTGTGTTCCAACACGACTTCGCTGGTCAGCAAACACAACGCGCGCGCGAGTCTCAGCTCCAAAGAAAAAGCGCATTCCCTCTTGAGTGTGAGAAGCTGGCGGAATGGACGTGAACGGCCCCTTTCCAATCAACCAGCGTGGCCCGCTCGGGCAGCATATGAAACAAAATCGACTGTGTCCAGTTCTTGGCTGTGAAGATTTTGCTTTGTCGTAACAAGCGACTGAAAGTCAACGTGGTCAGGGGCATGCGATCTGAAATTATGGAAATTATGTGCTTCTTGTGCCCACCAGGCAACAGTTACGGAAATTATGCGGCTCAATACAAAGGCTTCGATAAACTCAAATACATTGCAAACAATAGACATGATACATTGAACAGTTATTGGAATATTGATGTGGAAGGTAACATGCTATTGGATGGCAAAACACAGTGCAAGCACACATGAACCTAAACTCAGATGGTGTTTTTATTCGACTACAAATACAGCACACACAAGCCTAAACTCAAATCGGCTAGTTTATTGTTGCTCCATGCTCGATTAGCAACACTCAACATGGAGAGGAAAGGTGGGAAATACCAGGCAGGGAAAGTGGAAACGGTGGGTAGGCAGGAGGGGAAGGGACGGCAAGCAGGGGGCGGGAAGGGAGTGAATGCAGGGATGTAAGGGAGGTAAAGAAAGGGGAAAAGGGAGCAACCCGTCTCTGCCTTGCTACAGTGCGAAAAAAATAGGCAAAGCGGTTGTAAAGAAATTGGGGGAAGAAGATGGCAGGCAGGAGGCAGGAAACAGGGGGGGGTTGAGGAGAAGGGGTGAAACTGCAGACAATGCGGGGTAATCCAAGAAGAAGCAGGGGGACTGCGACAGCAAGCAGGTAGAAACTGATGGCAAGCAGGGGGAAACTGATCGCAAGCAGGGGAAAACTGAGTGTAGATAGGTGTCAAAGTACAATCTTGCTTGTAGGCTATAGTGGGGCACTCCTTCTGGGGTACAACACTTCTAGGGTTAGTACTTGTACCCCAAATCTTGCTAATCCAATAATTCCTGCACAGTAATTCTGACATGGTATTCAGAGCAGGAAACCTGTTAAGTTTTCAGGGCCCACCGATAGTTCCACTCATTCCTGCCCGAAGCGCCCTTGCGCTGTCCGGCCCTGCTCGCACAGTGTTGAGCTGCCCTGCAGCTACTCGCACTGCCTGCCCCCCGCATGTCGTGCCCTGCTGCAGCCCACGCGTCGCGCTCTGCTGCTCCGCGCGTCACGCCCTGCTGCAGCCCGCACGTCGCGCCCTGCTGCCCTGCGCGTCGCGCCCTACTGCAGCCAGCGCGTCGCGCTCTGCTGCCCTGCGCGTCGCGCCCTGCTGCAGCCAGCGCGTCGCGCCCTACTGCAACCAGCGCGTCGCGCCCTGCTTCCCTGCGCGTCGCGCCTTGCTGCAGCCAGAGCGTCGCACCCTGCTGCAGCCAGCGCGTCGCGCCCTACTGCAGCCAGCGCGTCGTGCTCTGCTGCCTTGTGTGTCGCGCCCTGCTGCAGCCAGCGCGTCGCACCCTACTGCAGCCCGCGCGTCGCGCTCTGCTGCCCCGCGCGTCGCGCCCTGCTGCCCTGCACAGCGCGCGCCCTGCTGCCCTGTCCACCGCGCGCCCTGCCCTGCAGCCCGCGGCGCGCCCTGCCTTGCCCAGCCGCGCCGCCCAGCCCGGCCGAGCCGCGCAGCCCAACCCGAGCCGCCCTGCCCAGCCCGAGCCGCGCCGCCCTACCTCGATCACCAGCCCCACCGAGCCGCCCTGCTGCTACTACTACTGCTGCTGCTGCTCGTGCTACTGCTGCTGCTGGTGGAGGTGTTGCTGGGAGTGCTGGGAGTGCTGCTGGTGCTGGGGGTGCTGGAGGTGCTACTGGGAGTGCTGGAGGTGCTGCTGGTGCTGGAGGTGCTGGACCTACTACTGCCCGTCACTGTCTGTCATGGCCACTATCACAGCAGTTGCAGCGGCTAGGGGTGGATAGCGGCGGTCACTGCCTCTCCCGGACGACCCCACCACTCAGCAGCTTCGCGAGTGGGTTCTTCAGAGAGCTCGTCCAGGTGGTGGAGGCTTTGGATTTCTACGTACTGCACAGAGGTGGCAGCAGAGTCAACAGGAGACCTTCTCCCCACAGGTGCTTAGTGAGTTGTTTCCTCAGCGATGTGTCACTGGTTCTGTCGAGGCTGCTGCACTAGGTGCTAGTGAGTCTGCTGCCGCACTAGGTGCTAGTGAGTCTGCTGCCGCACTAGGTGCTAGTGAGTCTGCTGCAGCTTTAGGTACTCGTGCATCTCCCGCCACAGGTCCTTCCTCAGCTGAGGCCTTTCACACTTTCACACTTCACTCAGGCGCGTCACGTTGCTTTTTTCGTGACTGCACCACACTCACACCACTTGCTGCACCAGTACCGGTCTCACTGGCTAACCCCACTGAGGGCCCAGTAGTCGCACGAGCCTCCACTGTCCTCCCGTGTCTAGCAGTCCCCTCCGGTTCTCTGTCAGGTCTCCACCTCCCCATGTTCTCGACGAACTTGGTGAGCAATGATGCCATTCAGGATGTCTGGGTTGATACCTTTATTCCTGGAGGGCAGCGTGTGGCGATCTTTAAGTGCTCCCGGACTGGCCATCACCTTGCTACGTTCACTCGACGGCCTGGGTCTAGTCTGTACACATTGACCACTGCGTCTGCACAGGTGGCTGAGGCAGGTCAAGTGGCTGCGTCGACTCAGGTGTCTGCGTCTGGTCAGCTTGCAGCGTCTTGCTCGTGTCGGGTACTCTCCCACCAGAATCTCCTCTGGCACCACCGCCTCAGTCACCCCTCCCTACCGCGTCTCCGCGGTATGCACTCCCGTCTCCTTGTCTCTGGCCTTCCCAGGTCCCTGCCCTCTCTCCCGCGCTCGCCTGCCCCGCCGTGCCTTTCCTGCGTCGAGGGGCGACAGCGCGCCGCTCCTCACTCCTCCGAGTTTCCTCCGACCACTGCTCCTCTGCAGACTCTCCACATGGACGTTTGGGGCCCGGCCCCCGTCGGTGGAACGGACCAGGAGCACTACTTCCTACTGGTTGTTGACGACTACACACGTTACACCACTGTCTTCCACTTCGGCGCAAGGCGGACGTCAGCGGTGTTTTGATCCCCTGGATCCGTGCTACTCGTTGCCAGCTGTGCGAGCGGTTCAGTCGGGACTTCCCAGTCCTGCGTCTGCACTCTGACAGGGGCAGTGAGTTCTCTTCTGACCTTCTTGCAGAGTTCTGTCGAGACGAGGGCATCCACCGGCCGTTCACGCTTCCGGCCTCTCCTCAGCAAAATGGGATTGCTAAGCGTCGCATTGGCTTGATCATGGAGGTTGCTCGTACCTCCATGATCCGGTCAGAACATTATAGCTTATACATTTGTGTAGGCTGTAGTGGGGTAGCCGATAAGGGGTACAACCCAAGTAGGGTTAGTACTTGTACCCAACTGTTTGCTAGTTCATCCATTCTCGTTCATTAGTTTAACATGGAATCAGAGCAGGTTCCTTGGGCCCACCACCTGCTACGCTGCTAGTACCTACGCGCGCCCGGCCCGTCGCCCCTAGCCTACGCTACCCGTCGACCCCGAGCCCGCGGCCCGTCGACCCCTAGCCCCGCGCCCGGCCCCGTCTCTAGCCCTCGCCCGGCCCCGTACCTAGCCCGCGCCCAGCCCCGTACTTAGCCCGCGCCCCGGCCCCGTACCTAGCCCGCGCCCGGCCCCGTACCTAGCCCGCGCCCGGCCCCGTACTTAGCCCGCGCCCCGGCCCCGTACCTAGCCCGCGCCCGGCCCCGTCCCATGCCCGCGCCCGGCCCCGTCTCTAGCCTGCGCGCGACCCCGTTCCTGCCCAGCGCTCGGCCCCGTACTTAGCTCGCGCCCCGGCCCCGTACCTAGCCCGCGCTCGGCCCCGTCCCATGCCCGCGCGCGGCCCCGTCCCTAGCCCGCGCGCGGCCCCGTTCTTAGCCCAGCGCTCGGCCCCGTACCTAGCCCGCGCCCGGCCCCGTACCTAGCCCGCGCCCGGCCCCGTCCCATGCCCGCGCCCGGCCCCGTCCCATGCCCGTGCCCGGCCCCGTCTCTAGCCCGCGCGCGGCCCCGTTCCTGCCCAGCGCCCGGCCCCGTTCCTAGCCCGCGCCCGGCCCAGTACCTAGCCCAGCGCCCGGTCTCGTACCTAGCCCGCGCCCGGCCCCATGCCTAGCCCACGCCCGGCCCCGTCCCATGCTCGCGCACGGCCCCGTCCCTAGCCCGCGCGCGGCCCCGTTCCTAGCCCAG